ATATATATATACACTTTGCTGGTTTTTGTGTTTCTCTAGAGAACCCAATCCAATATAGAGGCCCTTCTTCTTTTTTATAAAAATTCTTATGAAACATAAGTGTATGCACTAGGTCACAAAAATATCTATGCTCAATTTTAAATAGAATAATATGAGCTACCTGGCCAACCAACTGGAAGAGATCCATATAGATGCTTATTCCAAAGAAAGGTGATGCAATGGAATGTGGAAATTATTGAAACATATAATTAACATCATATGCAAGTAAAATGGTTGCAACAGTATATCAATAGAGAACTGTCAGAAATTCAAGCCAGATTCAGAAGAATTTTAGGAGACATATCATAGCTGATAGAAGATAGATCTTGGCTGAAAGTACAGAATACCAGAAAGATGTTTACCTATGTTTTATTGTCTGTGCAAAGGCATTTGACCATGTAAATCATAACCAATTGTGGATAACACTGTGAAGAATGGAAATTCCAGAACACTCGATTTTACTCATGTGGAACCTATACATAGACCAAGAGGCAATTGTTTAAACAGAACAAGGGGATACTACATGGTTTAAAATCAGGAAAGATGTACATGAGGATTGTATCCTTTCACCATACTTACTCAGTCTATATGTTGAGCAAGTAATATAAGAAGCTGGCCTGTATGAAGAAGAACACTGCATCAGGCTTGGAGGAAGACTCATTAACAACTTGTGATATGCAGATGACACAAGCTTGCTTACTGAAAGTGAAGAAGTCTTGAAGCTCTTACTGATGAAGATCAAAAACTACAGCCTTCAGCATGGATTACACCTCAACATAAAGAAAACAAAAATCCTCACAACTGGACCCATAAGCAACGTCATGATAAATGGAGTAATTATTGAAGTTGTCAAGGATTTCATTTTACTTGGCTCCACAATCACTGCTTATGGAAGCAGCAGTCAAGAAATCAAATGATGTATTGCATTAGACAAATCTGCTGCAAAAGACCTCTTTAAACTGTTCAAAAGGAAAGATGTCACTTTGAAGACTAAGGTCTACCTGACCCAAGCTACAATATTTTCAGTCATCTCATATGCATGTTAAAGCTGGACAATGAATAAGGAAGACTGAAGAAGAATTGATGCATTTGTATTACGGTATTGGCAAAGAATATCGAATCTACTTGGACTGCCAGAAAACAAACAAATCTGTCTTGGAAGAAGTACAGCCATAATGCTCCTTAGAAACCAGGATGGTGAGATTTCATCTCATGTACTTTAGACATATTGTCAGGAAGGCCCAGTCCATGGAGAAGAACATCATGCTTGATAAAATAGAGGGTCAGTGAAAGGAGGAAAACCCTCCCCGAGATGTATTGACACAGCAGTTGTGACAATGAGCTCAAATATAGATTATGAGGATGACACAGGATTGGGCAGTGTTTCATTCTGTTGTACTTCGGGTTGCTGTACATCAGAGCCGACTAGAGGGCATCTAACAACAATAACATAGAGAACAAATTTTATTAGTGGTTACTAGGGGTGGGAGCTCTGGTAGCATAGTGGCTAAGGCACTTGACTGCTAACCAGAAGGCTGGTGGTTCAAATCCACCAGCTACTCCTCGGAAGGAAGATAGGGCAATCTACTTCCATAGTGATACTGCCTCGGAAACCCAAGGAGCGGTCGCTATGAATTGGGAATGACTCGACGGCACATAACAACAACAACAACAAGGGGTGGGAAGGTGGGGAAAAGAAAGGGGTTAATGATAATGGAAATATTGCCTTGATTAAGGGTTGGGTTGCACAGCCAATTATTAAAATTGCTGTCAATAAGTTGTACATCTGTAAAAAGTTGAATTGGCAAAAGTGTGATATATTTACAACAATGACAAAAAAGCGTCTGCTTATGTATAATCAAGAACATTAGTGGGTTTATTTTCTTGGAGTGTCATGATTTCATGGGACTTCCCAGTTAATTGGCCTGATAATATGTTTAGTGCCTCTGTTCTGCCTCCTGGTTCACTGCATAGTGCCTTGGGCCTTAAAAGCTTGCAAGAAGCCATCCAAAGCACAACAGTTGGTCTGTATTCACCTGGAGCAACAGAAGAAAGAGCGTCAAGAATAGAAGGAGGATTCAGAATGTGTCGGTAATTGCCTCTAGAACAACTGCCTCCTTTGCCATGAGACCAGAACTGTATGGAGCCTGGCTACCATTTCTGAACATTTTGATCAAAGATTCTATAGCAGAATCCTGATCAAAAGGGGGGAAATACAAAACAGAATTTTAGTTTCTTATGTACTCCATACTTTCTGGAGCTGTGAAGGTTGGATGAAGTACTGAAACTATTGCTCTGAGATAATCTTTACCAAACAATAGTTTCAATGAACTAGTTGGGAGAAAAAAAAAAAAAAAGTCTGCCTTTAGCATTATGCTCTTTTAATAACTGTCTATATGGGATCCAATTGACAGACAACAACTTGAAAGTTTAGATAGGAACCTTAGGGGGCAGTAAACTTATGTTAATTGGGAAGGAACAACTCAGAAAAGGAGGATGAGGATGGTTGCAAAACTTCAAGTATGTAATCAATGTCACTAAATGGTACATGAAGAAACTGCTGAGTTGGTGTATGTTTTGCTGTGTACACACTCAACAAAAACAAAATAAAATTAAGAAAACTGTGGAGCACAGTTCTTCCACTCTGAAACACATGGGCCATCATAACTCAGAATCATCTTGACAGCAATTGTTTTTTTTTTGTTTTTGTTTAAAGTCGTCTGCTTCCCAGACCCTGTGTGTCTTTGCCATGGGCTGTGCTGAGTTGACACAATTCGTGTGTTCTGGTTCTCCCATTTTCTAAGTTTAAGACTGAACATCCCATTCCATATTTTTTCTATTCACACATTTAAAAAAATTCTTTTGGACATTATCACGGATATGACTACTGTTTTGTTTTATTTCAAGTGGAGTCTTGATTAGATCTCTACCCATTGTTTATTCTCTTTTTACTCTGGAAGACTTCCTGTCTCAAGATAGCTTATCTTATCCATTGAGCATTGGTTTTAACAATTCAACTCTCATAGTTTTGCGATTGCCAGCATTTGCTGATTTCTGTAAAGGAAAATAAATTGGCTTTTGTTCAAAGTTTCAGAATTTCACAGTTTTGAGAAATATCATGAAAATTAATTCACGTGGTACCATGTATAGTATGTTGTTGTTGTTGTTATTTGCTGTCGAGTTGGACTCGACTCATAGCGAGTCCTCCTTGGGTTTCCGAGGCAGTATCACTACGGAAGTAGATTGCCCAACCTTCCTTCCAAGGGGTGGCTGGTGGGTTTGAACCTCCAGCCTTCTGGTTAGCAGGCAAATGCCTTAGGCACTATGCTACCAGAGCTCCCATGTATAGTGTAGAGACCTGGATTGTTTATGCTGACATGCCTGACTAATTTAGATTTTCTTTGTTATGTGTTGTTTCAAAATCCCTGATAATATTTTTCTTGTACTTTTTTCTCTTCTAAGAGTGGAAAGTTAAGAAAATTTCTGGCTAATTGGTGTTCTAGGTAATAGGACAATGATGGAACAAGCCTGAATGCAGTCCTAACTTAGTTGATAAAGTATATGGAGTCTCCTCTGGGTCTTGCATCTATAAATGAGTGCTGTAGGAAGACACTGCCAACAATGAACAGAAAAACTGTAGTTAACATATATTAATCTTTATTGTAGTGCTACTGAAAGGAAATTGATGATTTACAGTCTAAAGGTTAGCTCAAAAGTAGTAACTTCCTGGAATTCACTACAGTTAAAAGATGCTATAGAAATATACTGCTTGATATATACTGATTGATTCCCGCTAAGCAGTCTCAGCCTCATGAATTAGCTCAGATGGGCCTCAGCTTTTTTCTACTAATCTTGGCTGTAAGTGATAGCATTTTGCTTACACCTGAAGGTCTGCTGAGACATCTGAAGTGGGCAGCTCATTGTGGGTCCATGTGTATTAAGTCCACGTAGTAGCACAGATAAGGAACCCTTGTGGTGAAGTGGTTAAGCATTTGGCTACTAACTGAAAGGTTGGCAGTTTGAACCCATCAGCCACTGTGTGGGAGAAAGATGTGACATTCATTTAAGGTTACAGCCTTGAAACCCCATGGGGAAGTTTTACTCTTTTCTATAGGGTCTCTATGAGTCAGATTGACTCAGAGGCAACAGGTTTGGTTTCAACAGGTTTAGTAACACAGATAATGTGCGACAAAATCATCTTGTTTCTTCCTTCCCACCCTCTCTCTCTGCCCCTATTCCTGACCTCTGCAGATGTTGATGAATGCGTGGAAAATAGATGTCACCCTGCAGCTACCTGCTACAACACCCCCGGTTCCTTCTCCTGCCATTGTCAACCTGGATATCACGGGGATGGATTTCAGTGCACACCTGGTAAGGTTTGGGAAATGTTCAATAGTTCTACAGCACTTCATCCCACTCTTGACTTACATAGGTCTGAGGCCTTGGTTAGGAGCTCTTGTTAAAGCATCTGGCTGCCAACCAAAAGTTCAGTGATTCAAACCCACCAGCCATCTGCAGGAGAAAGATGAGGCAGTGTGCTTCCTTAAAGATTTACAACCTTGGAAACCCTATGTCTACTCTGTCCTATAGGATCTCTATGAGTCACAGTCTACTCAGTGGCAGTGGGTTGGGGAGGCTTTAGTTGGTAGATTTTCCACAGTGACCTCCTGCTGCCTAGTTTACTAATAAAACCAAAGTAAAAAGCAGCTGGCATGATGTCAATTCCAACTCATGGTGAACCCCTGCATTGCAGGGTAGATCTGTGCTCCGTAGGGTTTGCAAGGTTGTGATGGTTCGGAAGCAGATCACCAGGCCTTTCTTCCGAGGTGCCTCTGGGTGGAATCAAACCACCAACCTTGTGGTTAGTAGTCAAGTGCTTAACTACATCACCCAAGACTCTTGGGTTTGTTGATATCACTTTTCCAAAGTTCACTAATTATTAGCATTCTTAGAAGCCTGGAGTATGACCCATTCATGATCTAATTTCCTTTGACTTGATGAGTACAAATGAGGTGATTTGAGACGAAGTATTGAGGTGTAGCTTTTTGCACAGGAACTACATACACTAATGAGCTGGAAGGAAGCACCTGTGGTGACTGCTCTGGGGCAACTTGGCCAGCAGAGTGTAGCCTAGTGACCACCACTGATACTGAGCTTTTCAGATTTAAACTCTGGATCTTCTAGGAATGAATATGTATTATTTTTCCAAAGTTTCTTAGGATATTTTGACAGAAATCATGAGTTCTCCATTTTACAAGAGGATACTGAGGGCTGCGAGAGAGGCTGCTTTACTTCTTAGTCAGCTAGGGACATACAGGGTGAACTGTGAAAACTAGGGATAAACTAAATAGATAGTGGCAGAGATAAATAAAAATCCAGGACTCCAAAATCCCAGTGCATTGCAATTTTTCCCTTGTCATACTGTCCTCCAATTATAGAAAAAAAAAAAAATCTCAGTACAGAAGACTTTAAAATTGGCTTGTGAGAGTGAATTGGTTGCAATGCTTTTTATTTCTCCTTTTATCTCCCTCTGTCCTGGACCCTAAAGACTCCACCTCAGGACTGAAACCCTGTGAATACCAGCAGCGCTATGCCCAGGCACAGCCAGCCTATCCTGCGTCCCCACTCCACATCCCCCAGTGCGATGAGCAGGGCAACTTCCTGCCCCTGCAGTGTCATGGCAGCACAGGCTTTTGCTGGTGCGTGGACCAAGGTGGCCATGAAGTCCCTGGTACCCAGACTCCCCCGGGCTCCACCCCACCTCACTGCAGAGCCCCAGGTGAGACAACCAGGAATCTTACTCCAAGAAGCATATGGGTTCAAGAAGCATATGGGTTCAAGAAGCATATGTCACTGATTACAAGGTGTTCTGGTTACCTAGTACCACTCTGACAAGAATATACCACAAATGGGATGGCCTTAACAAACAGCAGTTTATTCTCTCACAGTTTGGAGGCTTTAAGTCCAAGTTTGAAGTGCCAGGCTCTAGGGGCTGTGTGAAAGCCCCTTGACCTTGGGCGTCAGCTCTGCCTCTTGCTCCTGGCCCACTGGAGCTGGAGGCGTTTCTTCACTCAGGCAGCTACTGGCTGCTGAGGCTAACAAGCCCAAGGTTGACAAATAAAATGGTACAGTCCCGATGTTACCAAAACACACGGCAGGCCATTAATTCAAGTTCATTGTAAGTCTCTAGTTCGGCAGAGCATGGCAGGCTGCTGAACAATGACAAGGGTACATGCAGGATCTAAGTGTGCCATAAACTAGAGACTATCCCCAAGGCTTCTCCTTATATACGTGAAGCAGACCATATCCCAAAGGCAGCTACTCAGCTGCTTGTGGTAGATCCCACCATGGAGTTGATTGCCATTCTCATCATAGGGAATAACTACCACCAGCTGCCCAGCCACTCAGCCAGGCCCAGGCAAGTTGACATACACATTTAACTACCACAATTTCACCCCTTTACAACTTAGCACCTGTACAGATCTCTCCCACTAGGTGGCTCCAGTCCCCTAGTTCCTCTAAATGGTGACCTCACCCCCTTGGCCTGGAGGGCCCCATTCCTCTCCCTCTTGGGCATGACAGCCCTGCCCCCTCACTCTTGGACAGCGGCTGTGACTCCATCCCACTGGCTCATATGAATGAGCAGCCCCACACTCCAGAACCAAGTTGGTGAAGGTCTAACACTTTGAAACCTAGTGGCCTATGATGGTTCCACCCCCAAAGGCCACGGTCCTACCCTTTGAGGCTGAGGCAGCCCTGCTTCCCTTTCCTTAATCTCTCCACTTCTGCTGGTTAATGCCTGAGGGCAACCCACTCCCCCGGAAATCTTTCTGCCCAAAGGACACTTATTTTCTTGCTCTGTGGGCCGGCCAACCTGCTACTCTATTTTATGCCAGTCTCTTCACCAATTAATGCCTGAAGGCAACCCACTCTGCCAGGAAACTGCCTACCCAATGGCACCCAGCTTTCTCCTCCGTGGGCTGGTAAGCCTGTTGCTGTTTAATGCCAATCTCTGGGTTCTGCTACTGCCATCTTTCATGCTGGTCTCTTTGCTGGTACCTCTCTGCCAGTCTCTTGGCTCTGCTCTGCCATCTCTCATGCTGTATGCTGGAATCTCTCTGCCAGGGACTCAGGTCAAGGATGCACTCCACTCCTGTTTCCACATTTTAGGTATCTGCCAGAGCAGCACCCCACTCTCTTGGTACCATACTCTGTTCTGGTTACCTAGTACCGTTCTGACAAGAATATACCACAAATACCACCAGCTGCCCAGCCACTCAACCAGGCTCAGCCAAGTTGACATACATCTTTAACTACCACATGAGGGTAGGTTATAACCCTTGCCCAGACCATTCAGACTTGGACCATTCAGCATTCTTTCATGATCTACTTTCTCCTGTTGTTGTTAGTTCCCATTGAGTTGGCTGTGACTCGTGATAACCCCATAAAACAGGACAAAATGTTGCCCAGTTCTGCTTCATCTTCATGATCATTGTTGTGACCATGTTTGTGGCCTCTGTGTAGTTTGACCACCTTCCAACAGAGAGTGCTTGTCTTCCAGCACTAAATCAAACAATGTTTTGTTGTGGTCCATAGAATTTTCACTGGTTAAGTTATGGAAGTAGATCACCAAGCCTTTCTTCCTGGTCTTAGTGTAGGATTTCTGCTAAAACCTGCCCACCATGGTATTTTGAGATATTAGTGGCACGTTCCATCACCACAGCAACATACAAACCACCACAGTATGACAAACTGACAGATGGGTGGTGGCTCTTTCCTCCTCAGAAAGATATTTTTTACATAGTCAAGTTATAGAGATGCATGTACACACACACATACTTAATTGTTATACACTGGATTCCATCTGTTTAGACCTTTACCTACTACAAGACTGGAAGTTTAGATTGAGTGTGTACATCAGGCTGAGGGCACTTCCCTGGATCTGTTAGGGTACCATAGAGGTACCTAGGGGATCTGGCCAGACTAGCCTTTTGTCCAGAAGGAAAACTCCCTTCCTATATAAGTATCTGGTTTAACTGTGCCTTCTGAATTGCAGGAAATGGTCTGAAGGGTGTGCTATATCAATAGACAAAATAAGTATGACACTTGTAGGTGGATCCAACCAATTTACTCTAACCTGATAACTCCAGTCCTCTCTAGTCGAGCCCAACACATCAACTGGGAGTCACTCTTGCCCCAACCACCTTCAGAAGAAGCACAGGAATCTGTTGCATTAGATAATGGAATCTGAGATGTTGGTGATGAACATGTCTGTTACCATCTGAGCATGCCCCATCTGTGTGGGACGTGGTTATGAAGTGCTCCTAGCTTATGCCAACAGCAGACTTTTGCATCATGCTGTCATGAATTTGAATTTCAGATATGGTAAGAACTTTATTTTAATACAGAACTTTATTATGAAGAATATAGTATTAGTTTGAGACCATTTTAGCCAAAATGCTTTCTACATCCATTTTCACTAATGAGAACAGGCCTGTAAATATTGTTCTTTGCTTTTAAACATAGGAAAATAAGACGGGCTGGAGAATTACCAAAAGATTTGATCATTTTAATGGTATTAATTGCTGTGGCAGGAGTTTACTGATTCTAAGACCTATGTAGGTAAAAAATGGTAATGGTTTATCTAGTAGAGTTGGTTTTGTTTCTACGGTGATACTCCTGGTTCTTCTCTGTCCCCATATTTTGGGAAAGCTCTTTCAGGAACAACAACAAAAAAAGAGTACAGAGAAATCCTATTTCACTTATGCTTTCCCTTTCCCTTCTTTAGAAAATCTTGGAATTTGAAGAAATCACATGGCTGGGAGGTGTCTTCAGAGAACAGTTCAGAATTCTATTAAATTCATTAAGCATGTGTTAAGGACAATGACTCAAAGGCGGCCAAGAGACTGAGAAGTTAATAACTAAAATGGGGATGCATCCTTTAGGGCAGACTCTTTCCCATGCTTCCTGACTTTTCTCTTGGTGCTGGGTTGGCCTTGGCCATTTCTAACTCTTTCATCTGTATAATTGGGTCAGCTTGAGAGGAGTGAGAACACTTTGTGCCCAAGATTCCAAAATATTTCAACCTTGCCAACCAGAAAAGAAGAGCAGGGCTTTGAACCAGTTTGAATCCGAAGTGAAACCAGAACAGACCCAGATTTTTTAAATTTGGGTGATCTGGAACACTAACCAGAGTGGGGGAAATTGTGGGTGAAGCCTTGGAACATGAGATTCGAAAGAGGTCTAGTGAGGCCTTTCAGTAGGTTGGTGCATGACGTTGGATTATCGCCAGGACTGTGGAGAGCAACACCCATTCAAAACAGTGTCATCAGCTGCCATCTTTGAGCCGGGAATAACTGTTTCTGACTCAGCTAGTCAAGAGATTTGATTGCTATGCCATGTGTATGCTTCTCTGGTTTCCTAAGTGGGAGACTAAGTTCTAGCAGGGCTTTGACTCATTTTAGTTCACCCACATTTTAAAAATTGGGGTCCATTCCAGTTTTGCTTTATTGACCATGAGTGAACCGGGCTGAACTGGCTCAAAGTCCTGTAGAGGAGGAAAAAATCCATTATTGGGTTGAGAACTAAGTTGTTTCAAATAGTAAGGAGTGAGAAGTATGCCCACTTGTAAGTGATCTGAAGCACCCATTTTCAAGACGTTGACCCTGCTGTGTGTCTGCATTCCTAATAGCTCTGCCTATGTAGGTGGTCCCTTGAACTAAGAATGAGTCCTCTGAGTTAGGAGTGTGGGATTGGGATCTAGGGGATCTCATCTCAAGGTTGGTGCTAGTGTTTGAAGAGGTAGTGTTTCTGTCTCCGGGTTCCTTGTGACACACTTGAGTGAGATGGTCAGAATCCTACCTTCTCCAAGAAGGACAAAAAGGGTCATGAGATAAGAGTGGCTGCCCCCAAACAAGGTGAGTCTTGCAATTGAGCTAGGTGGGTTTTATCTTTGAGGGTTTTAATCACCATCTTCCTGATCTCCCAGAGAAATTGTAGGTACATGGACCCAATCATTATGTTTCCAACTTTGTACTTTGAAGCCATTGGAAGGTTCTGGCCAAAGGAGTGGCATGAAATGATTTAGCATTTTAAAGGGACATTCTGGCTTCTTGTTGAGCTTCCACTAGTGGGTGAGGAGGAGGGTGGAAGCAGGAAACCAGTAAGGAGGTTATTGCAGTAATCCAGGCATGACATGATGGGGCTTGGCCAAGGTGACAGAGGTGGAAGTGGCAAGACATGAAGTTTGTATTTTGGAAACAGTGATGACAGAGTTTCTTGACATATCAGTTATGGAGATTGAGGGAAAGAGAAAAGAGAGGAATCAAGGATAACTCCAAGGTTTGAGGCCTGAGAAATAAGAGAGTGGAGGTACAATTTATTGATATGGAAATGACCAGAAGGGGGAGCAGGTTTGATGGGAAAAGCAAGGACCCAGTGTTTGTTAGTTGTATGCTGAGATTCCTAGCACATATCTAAATAGTTCTTAGATAGAAGTCTGGAGCCCATAGGCTTTGAACTTAGGAATTAACAAGGAAGGAGAAGCACCTTTTTAAAAAGTTTATTTATTTTGTTGTTGTTGTTGAGAATGTACACAGCAAAACATACACCAATTTAACAGTTTCTACATGCATAATTCAGTGACGTTGATTCCATTCTTTGAGTTGTGCAACCATTCTCACCCTCATTTTCTGACTTATTCCTCCTCATTAACATAAGCTCATTGCCCCTAAGTTTCCTATCTAATCTTTCGAGTTGCTGTTGTCAATTTGATCCCACGGAGAGAGATCTTGAAAGCACAGTGCTCAAGGCAGACATTCTTTACCAGTGAAGCTAAACTAGTGTTTGGTTTTAAGAAGACTTCAGGATTTATTTTGGTTTAAGGTTTAAAGATGATTTGAAGGCAATGGTTTCAGGGATTCATCCAGACTACATGTCTCCAGAAAGAAGCACCTTTTTTTAATTTAAAGTCTTTGAGGTAATACTGTCATAATGGATGCAAATATAATTTCAACAGGGCTGAATTTCAACAGCAGAGTCATGTGGGGGAGCCTTGATCACCCTGCAGAAGCAGCCTGGGTGAAAACTTGCAGGTGGCTAAACTGCTCTGCCCGAGAAGCACACAGGACTTTAAACGAGAGTTTTAAACCAGTTCTTTCTTGGTGCAGTCATGGCTAATGAAGCAAAACCAAAATGAACACAAACTTACAAAATGTGGGTGAACTGGAACAATAACCAGAATGGGAAAAAGTACAGGTTGACACTAGAAACTTAATCTCCCTCTTAGAAAACAAAGGCGATGTGCATGTTGCCTAGCAACCAAATCCTTGATAGGCAGAGTAGGAAACATTGATGCCCAGCTCAAAGATGGTGGTATTCAAAGATGCCACTTTGAATGTGTGCCTGTCTTTCCAGTCTTGGCAATAATCCAACATCCCACATCAGGTGCTTGAAAGGGCTCACTGAACCTCCTTCAAGTCTCCCATTCCAGGGCTTCGATCTGTAATTTTTCTCATTTCAGTTATCATTCCTCTTCACCCAAATTTTAAAAATTCAAGCCTTGACTAACCCGGTCAAACTGGTTCAAAGTCCTGGTTTAGACAAAGTTGTGACTGAGGAAGGACGGGAGGACACGTGAGGAAGGACGGGAGGACACATGAAGAAGGGCGGGAGGACAGCGGAGAAAGGCGAGGCAGAACAAGGAGGCAGGAAGCTGGAGCTGGCAGCAAAAGGTTCAGTTTGAGATAATCCCAGAAGCCAGGTAGCCAAAGGATTTCTAGGAACTGGTAGTTCCTAGAGAACAACATTTTAAGTTGCTTGCCACCATCTCTGCTGTGTATGAACACTCACGTGTGCACACACACATACACACACATTGTATCACAGTTTTATTTTTACTCAGTATAGTTTTCCAGTGGACAGATACTGAGTGTCACTAGGGCATTCAATAAACACTTTCTAAAACATCCACCAGCAAGTCTCAGGATAGCTCTCTCAGAAGCAAGTCCTAGGGCTTGAAGCATGTGGGGGGAAAAATAGCAATTGGCTTTAAGCATCATGTAGGTCACCAAGTCCTTAAGGAGAGTCTGCATGAGTGCCTGTCAGCAGAGGCCACCCTGGGCCTAAGCAGGATGGCCATGGGCTCTGCCTCTTACCACGCCACATGAGCCCTGCACCCCTGATGTCATCTCTACTTGCTCTTTCCTGATGTGACTGGGCCTTGATGACAAATTCTCCTGGCCTGGGAGACCAGAGTGTCAAGACAACCCCTTCTCTGGGACTGAGAGAGAACTTCTCAGAGCACATGTGCTGCCCTGGCCCAGTGTCCAGGTGTTGGCTGGACTCTTTGGCAGCAGACACTGGGGGAGGGTGGCCAGGCATGGGACCTTGAGTGTACATGCTGCATGCTGTCCTTGGCCCACAATCAAAGGCTTTTCCTCTCCATCTGCTCAGAGCCCACCCAGAGGCCCTGGACTGTCTGTGAGCGCTGGAGGGAAAGCCTGCTGGAGCATTATGGTGGCACGGCCCGTGATGACCAGTACGTGCCCCAGTGTGATGATCTGGGCCAGTTCGTCCCCCTGCAGTGCCATGGGAAGAGTGACTTCTGCTGGTGTGTGGATAAAGATGGCAGAGAGGTGGAGGGCACCCGCTCCCAGCCAGGCATCACCCCTGCATGTAAGCACCTGGGCCAGCCCTCACTCACCTAGCTGCTTGTTCTGTAGGAAAGCTGCCTGCTGTGGGCAAAAGTGGGAAAAGGAGGGGCTGCATGTGAATTCATAATCTGGTCTTCCCAAGATCCCAATTTGGATGTAATGTTCAGTTTTATTAGCAGTTTCTGTAATTAGAACATCTGGAATGCACTTCACCATGTGATTACTCCCCTTCCCCAGCCCAGGGTGAAAGGGGACACGTGTCACCCTGGGGCCCCAAAGAGAAGCTGATACAACACTGGCTCTGGTTTTGCCCTTAAAAAAAAAATAAAAATGAAAACTCTCTGCTTTTTTCAGAGGGAAGTCTTGCCATCTCCCTCCCTAGTAATTGGCAGTGATTTACATAATTGATCCTTAACCAAAAGAAAAAAAAAATCCTAGGAATTGAATTTCATTTAAAGAACATCTGGAACACATCTGTCTAGGATGAAAAACTTCGGGTATTCTTGGAGACTCTGCTGTGTGAGAGCCATTTTTCTCCCCTGCCCTGCCTTTGTTTCCCTTCCTCACCCATTGCTACTCTTTCTGGCAGGTATACCCACGGTTGCTCCACCCACGGTCCTGCCGACTCCCCACTCTGATGTGACCCCTCCCTCCGTGGGCACTTTCCTGCTGTATGCCCAGGGCCAGCAAATTGGCCACTTGCCCCTCAACGGGACCAGGCTTCAGAAGGACTCTGCCAAGACCTTGCTGTCACTGCATGTAAAGTAGAGTTCCTGGGGGGGGGGGCTGCCACAGGGCTTCCAGAAGGCACAGGCTGCCTCTCAGGGCAAGGGGCTCACTGGAGGGAAGGCCTGCAGGGTTTCTGAGCTGCAGGCCTCCACCCCTGCAGAAAGTGTGACACTCTGTGGCCGGGGAGTCACCTCTGACCAAAGCCATGGTCTCTAGCTAGTTCGCAGGATATCAGATATATGGAGGAGGAATTCCAGGGTTGTCAGGATATGGAGGCAGGATAGTGATCCAAGGAAGAATTGCTGGATCTTAACCAGAGTCCCCAGGGTTCCCTCCACGTCAAAGATATCACCACAGAGATTGTGGAAACGGAAGCTGCAGAAACCAGCTTCCTGTGGTTTCTGTGATCAGTTCAGAAACCCCAAGTGGAAATCAATTCATCGGAAATCAGTTAATGATTTCTCCACTGCTGCAGTCCTCTGCCCTCCCATTTTGGTTCCGTCTCGGTGATGGGGACTCTTTCCTTACTTGCTCTGACTCCTCTAGCCAAGTTCTGGGGAGAGTCTGAGGCTGGGAGAGGACTGAGTTTTCCCTGGGGGATGGATGCCGGCTGCTTCCTGAACCAGCAGCGTTCCTGCTGCCAAGGACCATCCTTTGGAGAAAGAGATTTCTTCTTTAGAAAGGAGAAGAGAAGGGAGCTGGTCAGGCGGCATCCCACGGCCTCTCTTACAATGGTTTATTGTCCACTTCTGTTTCTCAACTTCATGCTCCAGGTACCTGCTAATCCAGGAGAAAGAACAGCAGTGTTCATGTTTGTATTTACTTCTGTTAATGAACTAATTCCTTATATGGCTCCAGAAAAGTTTATAGGTAGCCAGGGTTCAGAAAAGGATGTGTTTTTTTCTTCTTAAGATATGGGGTTTTTTTGTTGTTGTTTTTCCCCAGCAAACACTAGCCTGTTATTTTGTAAATGTTTCTTTTCAAGTCACAAAGTGAAAAACTGCTGTCACCTCAGGCTAACCATCCATCTAGTGTAGCCAAGTCAGATGGCTTAACTTCATTTCTGAAGGTGCCCCTGATGTAATGGGTTTGTGGTGGTGAACTGACAGAGAAATGGGACATGGGTTATAAGCACATCTTGGAGAAATTTACTTAAACTGGGACTTGTTTCCTCCAAGAAATTTTGAACTCACTACATGGTTAATGAATCCCATGATTCCCTCGGTTGATGGAAGCTCATGTGGATGTGCCATCTTGCCTGGGACAGCTAGCTGACTTTTTGATTTTCAAGTAAATTTGCAGTGGACCTTTGAGTCCCCATATAAACTGCCCACTTTTGCACCAGAGTCTTGTGCTGACTACTCTCCCAGAGGAGTAAGTTGAGCCAGGCCTAGGGCTTTGTTAGGCAAGAAGGGAGCTGGCATGACCTGGGGGTGGTCAGATTGCCTCTCACTGCTGGCTTTGCACATCTGCTTGGCTGGAAGAATGAAGCAGTTGTGGAAAGATCAGACTCAGCATTGTCACAAAGACTGTCATTTATTTAGAACTTCTTACAATAGGGAGGGGACCTCTAGCCAGAGGCTGGGAGACTGCCATTCATTTCCCAGTTACTTAGCACATCAAATTAGATTTTCTTTTACGCAAGAGTACAACCTAAGAATTGCTTTCTTGAAGACACAGAAGTGGGGGTAAGAATGATTGCACCACAGGTCTGGGAGAGCTCTCATCACATTCACAGGGGTGGGGTGTTTGCATATGTTGGCAAACTTTAGAAAGGCTCTTTCAAAAAGATGCTGGTAACATTTGAAAGGGGTCAGAGTTTTTGCCTAGTAAAATAGTAAGGGCTTGTTTGTGTTTTGGAGGTTAACTTTGTCCTTTAATCACTAAAGGGGCTGATTTTTTTTTTTCCCCATTAAATCACTTGGTTTTATTGCCAACCACAGTAACACTTATTGAGGTATACTAATTACTGACTAGGGCACTTGGCAAGCATTTGTGTTAATAATTTTTATAACAACCATATGAGATAAACCTACCAAACTAAACCCACAGCCAACAAGTCAATTCTGACTCATAGTAACCCTACAGAACAGAGTAGACCTGCCTCACAGGGCTTCCAAGGCTGTAAATCTTTACAGAAGCAGACTGCCTCATCTTTCTTCTGCAGAGTGGCTGGTGGGTTCGAACCTCTGAGCTTTTAGTTAGCAGCCGAATGTGTTAACCACTATGCCACCAGAGCCCCTAAACCATATGAAATAGGTACTATTACTATCCTCATTTTGCAAATGAAGAAACCAGGTTAAGTACCCAAAGCCACACAGCTAGTAAGTGGTCAAGCCTGGCTTTGAGCCCAGGAAGTCTGACTCCATAATCCACATGTCAAATACTCTGCTTGGCGGTCCACATGACCACAGTGTGGGGTTACTCCGCAAGGCAGCTGAGCACGAACTTGGAGGAAATCCAAGGAGTCTTAATTCTTCCAATTCTATGTTTTGATCCACGAAGGGCTCCATAGTCGTAGGAATTGACTATGACTGCCGGGAGAGAATGGTGTACTGGACAGATGTTGCTGGACGAACAATCAGCCGTGCCAGTCTGGAGCCAGGAGCAGAGCCCGAGACGATCATCAACACAGGTCAGCAGCGTCACCCAAGTCAGCATTTCATCTGATTCTACGAAGTTGAAATTACTTGCCTATTTTATGCCAAAGCCTCACCTCTACTTTCATCTCACTCTACCTACCCCCCCAAAAAAGTTGCTATCAACTCTGACTCATAGCAATCCCATGTGTCAGAGTACAACTGTGCTCCACGGGGTTTTCAATGACTGATTCTTCAGAAATAGACTGGTAGGCCTTTCTTCCGAGGTGACTGGGTGGACTGGAACCCCAACCTTCTGGTTAGCGGCCAAGCACGTTAACAATAAGCTTTGTGCCAGTCACTTTATAGAGTTGTACAAGACCAGCCTCTCAGTAAACAAACACGTTTATGCATAAGAAATGAGGTGATGGAAGACCTTTGAGCTTTTAAAAAAAAGTGCTAAAAGAACGAACTCAGGGTGTAACGATAGTTTACGCTGCCTGGCGCCAGCACTGTGGCTACCCTAGTGCCATCAGGCTGGTAGGTCAGCTAATCTAGAAGAAACTAGAGACAGCAGAAAAAAGAATAAAAGGATCTGTTTCTGTATTAACCGGGTTCATGGGACTTAGGCACTCTCAGAACTTTTTTTTTTTTAAGGTACTCAGACATAGTAGATCACTGTCTCACACCCCCCTTCGTACCCTGCAAATGCTCCAGTCCTGCCTTTGTTTCATTTCCAGGTCTGATAAGCCCCGAAGGGCTTTCCATCGACCACTTCCGCAGAACCATGTACTGGACGGACAGTGGCCTGGACAAGATAGAGAGTGCCAAGCTGGACGGCTCTGAGCGCAGGGTCCTCTTCCACACAGATCTGGTGAATCCTCGAGCCATCGCTGTGGATCCAATCCGAGGGTCAGCTGGGCTTTCCTAATTCTCCTCTGTTTTGACAGATTCTAGGTTGAAGCACTTGGATTTTAAATACAGTACAGGCAGGGCCAGAACAAGAGAGTAAAAGTTCATTTAACAAATATCTATTGAGTATCTACTAGATACCAGGCACTGTTCTAGGCAAAGATAAGGCCTGTTTTTTTACGGAGCTTTTCTTCTATTAGGAGGAAATAAGAGAAACTTAACAAATAAACTAACAAGAAAAGTATTAGCCCGAGAAATGACATGTGGAGAATTCAGATAGTGTTGTGAGAGTGACGGGGGCTACTTGAGATGAGATATCAGGCAAGGCCTCTCTAAGGAGACACTTGAACTGAAATGGAAGTCTATCTCTTTCAGCAACACATCTGGAAACCAGAGTGCTGAAGCTACTTTTCCTCTAAGGTTTACCTCCATTAGACGGAAGAATGACTAGACATCCAATGCCAGAGACATCAATTCCTTGGCACTTGGGCCACTTTACAGGGTAGCTCCCAGCATGACATCTAGTTTACCTCAGAGCAGATGAGTGAGTGAGGGTACCCAAGAGAGAAGGCAGTCTTTTTGAAACTGATACTGGAAATGATATCCCACCTCTGCCATTCTGTTCACTAAAAGTCAAGTCACTAAATCCAGCCCACACTCACTCCAGGGGATCCTTGAAGAGTGTGGTGCTGCCTACCACAGGCATAGCTATTCTTTACAAACTTGATTTTGAATTTATCCACAGCAATTTGTACTGGACAGACTGGAATCGAGAAGCTCCTAAAATTGAAACATCTTCTTTGAATGGAGAAAACAGAAGAATTTTGGTGAATAAAGACATTGGGCTACCCAATGGTTTAACCTTTGACCCCTTCTCCAAACAGCTCTGCTGGGCAGATGCAGGTAATACTACTACTGAGAGATAACCCTTAACTATATACAGTAGGTGCTAGCACTAGAAGAGTTTACTGCAAAGCCAGATCCCATCATTTAGATCTTTTGGCTTAAATTTATAAGAGCACAGCAGGTAACTGATTCCTTTGTCTGGTCTGTAAACTTTTATTTAAAGAACAATTTGTATTAATTCTTATAATGGACTTTATGGGGTTTGGGGTGAGTGGGATGAATTTGCCAGTTCAGTTTGAAGACTAGTACTATGTCCAACTCGTTTTTGTCCATTTCTTTGTCCTGTTAACAAGAGGTCACTTTTTCTTTTTTTAACTAGTGTTATAACTTATTCATAAAGGTTGTTTACTACCACAGTATGCTATTATGCCGAGGACATTCTTTGGAAACAGATGTGGCAGGATGGCTTCTTTCAGTGATAAATTTGGGTCACTTACACCGAAGTTTTTATTTCTCTCTGTTGTGTGCTTTTCATTATTAGCACAATTGAAAGGATGCTATATGTCTAGTGCTGTACTAAAGAGTATGAGAAAAACTTCTTGAGGAATTTATAGTCCAAATTAACATTTACAGTTGTTTAAAACTAGTTTTTCAAAGCATTTGAAATTTAAATCAAGAGTCCATGAGAAATGTGAACTTGGAAATTCTTGGTTTCGCCATCATAAATTTTTTTAAACTGCTTTGTTTACACTGGCCAAAACTACACTGAAAAATATGACCCGTTACCATTTTTGTTTTTTTCCCTACCTAGAAAATAATATGGTCTTTTAAAAAATATTTAGATTTTGGCAAAACGGCTGCCTTAGCTACTATACCTTGCTTATTTACCCGGATGGTGCTTACAGTTGGAGCCCTGGTATCACAGTGGTTAAGCATTTGGCTACTAACCAAAAGGTTGGCACTTCAAACCCGCCAGCCACTCCATGAAAGAAAGATGTGGCAGTTTGCGTCTATTAAATTTATAGCCTTGGAAACCCTATGGGGGCAGTTCTACCCTGTCCTATAGGATGGCTATGAGCTGGAATCGACTTGACAGCAGTGGCTTTGGTTTTTGTTTGTTTACAATTTATGAGCTAAGACTTGATCTATAAATTAGAAAAATGCTTCTCTCTACTGGTCTGCTTTGGGAGAAGCTTGGCCAGATTTCAGTAAATTCTATCTTTTCTTCCAAAAAAGAATTCAGAGCTTGAATTCTATTAAAAACTAGAATACTATTGAAGAAACTGTTTGGGGAGTAAATAGTACAACAGGAAATTTTAGTTGCTTATTTTATGACTGCAATGAGAGTGAAATACTATTTTCTATTCTATTCCCCCGCCCCCATCCAGAAGCAGTCTACTCACAAAGATGCTTATAATGTTTCCCCCATAGCATAAAAGGCTCTCATTTTCCCTTTGCTGTTTTTAAAAGGAACCAAAAAACTGGAGTGTACACTACCTGATGGAACTGGACGGCGTGTCATTCAAAACAACCTCAACTACCCCTTCAGCATCGTTAGCTATGCAGATCACTTCTATCACACAGACTGGAGGAGGTGAGCCTGACCACTCTGGACAAGGCTGACAAGGCTGCCTGCTCTGGAGGAAACACCAGTTATTCTACCAGAAGTCAATAAGGGACTTCTGCAATGAAGGCCTCTATTCGGGTCTGCATTTCATTCTCTTCCTTAATAGACAGCAGCCTTCAAGTTTTCTTTTAAAGTCATTCTTTTACTTCACACAGAACTTTTTAATGGTATTTCTCACATGTAGCTTCAAGTGGCAAAGCTTAAAGTAATGAACTAAAAAGGAAGCACATTTAACCAAAATCTGATCGTCAGAGAATAAATCTACCCTAAAGTGATACCATGAAACATATTATTAGGTATAGAGTTTAAGTTTTTTCCATTCTTTTTATGGTAGTCATATTAGTTATCTACCTGGAAGACTAAGGTATACTGTAATTTCGGAGTTTTCAAATAAGGAACTGGGGAAATTTATATATCTATATATATCTATACATACATGTATACATACACATAATGCATGTCTACTCTCCTCTGACCATCTCCCTTGGGATTTTGACTTAATTGGTTGCTATCAGTACTTCTAAAAGATCCTCAAGTGATCGTAACATGCAGCAAGGGTTAAGGACGACTGATCTAAATCAATGGTTCTCAAACTTTAGCATGTATCAGAATTACCCAGAGGACATTTTAAAACACAGATTATGTGAAAATTATGATTCAGTAGGTCTGGGATGGGAAAAAAGAATTTGCATTTCTAACAAATTCCCCAATGACTGAAGATCAGACTAGTTGTGGGAAGACATTAAGGACATCTATACATGGATAAAGCAACAGATCACTGAAAAAAAAAAAAAAAGACAAGATTCAAATGGATGTCAGAAGAGACTCTGAAACTTGCTCTTGAACAAAGAGCAGGTAAAGAGAATGGAAGAAATGGCTGTAAAAGAACAGAAGATTTCAAAGCGCGGCTGAAGAAGACCAAGTAAAGTATTATGATGAAATGTGCAAAGACCTGGAGTTAGAAAATCAAAAGGGAAGAACACACTTGGCATTTCTCAAGATGAAGGAACTGAAGAAAAAATTCATCTCAAGTTGCAACACTGAAGGATTCAATGGGCAAAAATGAACAATGCAGGAAGCATCAAAAGCAGGTGAAGAAATAGTCATTGTACCAAAAATAATTAAGTCAGTGTTCAACCATTTCAGGAGGTAGCATATGATCAACTGATGGTATAGAAGGAAGAAGTCCATTCTGCATTGAAGGCATATCAATGAAAAACAAGGCTCCAGGAATTGACAATACCAACTAAGATGTTTCAACAAATGGATGCAATGCTGGAAGTGCTCATTCATTTATGCCAAGAAATGTGGAAGACTGCTTCTTGGCCAACCCACTGAAGAGATCCATATTTGGGCCCATTCCAAAGAAAAGTGATCCAACAGGATGTGGAAATTGAACAATATGATCAATATCACATGTAAGTAAAATGTAAAAATCCAGAAACTGTTTCCACAGTACATGGACAAGGAACTGCCAAAAACTCAAGCTGGATTCAAAGAGGACATGGAATAGCAAAGTCATTGCTGATGTCAAATGGATCTTGGCTGAAAGCAAAGAATAGCAGAAAGATGTTTACCTGTGTTTTATAAACTGTGCAAAGGCATTCGACTGTGTGGATCATAACAAATTATGGAGCATTGCAAAGAATGGGAATTCTGCAATACTTAATTGTGCTCACGAAGAGCTTGTACACAGACTAAGAGGCAGTGGTTCAAACAAAACAAGGGGATATACTGCACGTTTAAAACCAGGAAAGGTATACATTAGGGTTGTGTCCTTTCGTCATAATTAATCTGTATGCTTAACAAATAATCTGAGAAGCTGGATGAAGAATACTGCATCAGGACTGGAGGAAGTCTCATTTAAGAACCTGCAATATGGAGATGATACAACCTTGTTTGCTGAAAAGTTAAGATAACTGGAAGCACTTACTGATGAAGATCAAAAACTACAGTCACACCTCAACATAAAGAAAACAAAAAACCTCACAACTGCACCAATAAGAAACATTATGAAAGATGGAGAAAAGACTTAAGTTGTCAAGGATTTCACTTTACTTGGATCCACAATCAATGCCCCTGAAAGCACAAGAAATCAAAGGATGGAATGCATTGGACAGATGTGCTACAGACCACCTCTTTAAGCTGTTAAAAAGTCCACCTACTCTACAGAGATACTTCCATTGGAGCAATCAGCCATGGGGCACCAGAGGGGCAGCATTCACATGGAGGAAAAGCCACACAGGAGTGCATAACTAAGAAAGGCACAGGGTGGTGGTGGGGGCGGTTACTAGGAAGGGAGAGGAGGAGAGTGGGTTAGGGTTGGGGATGGTAATTGGAGATTGAAGCCAAATGTACATGAAATGTTGAATGTAAAACAAATTCTGCTCTGTAAATTTGCACCTCAAGCACAATAATGGAAGAAAAAAAAAAAGCAAATAGCATAGCACGATCCAAGCTATAGTATTTTCAGGCACCTCATGTGCACATAAAAACTGGAAAATGAGTAAGGAAAACCAAAGAACTGAAGCCTTTGAGTTATGATGTTGGTGATGAATATGGACTATACCACGGACGGCCTGAACAAACAAGTCAATCTATTTCAAAAGACCTGCAGCTCCTTTAGAAGCGAGGATGGGGAGACTTTCATCTCTTTTGTACTTTGGTCATACTGTCAGGAGGGACAAGTCCCTGGACAAGGAAATCATACTTGGTAGTGAGTGAAAAAGGAAGACCCCTAATGAGACCGACTGACACAGTGGCTGCAACAGTGGGCTGAAGCACAGCAACAACTGGAGGCTGGTGCAGGCCCAGGCAGCTTCCTCCCGCTGCAGAGGGCCACTGAGTGGAACCAACCTGATGGCACCTAACGAGTTCCCCAGGTGATGCTGGTCTGGGAATCACCAGTTTAAACAAAATCCACGTTTGAATAAATGAGTCAACATTCATTTGGTTAACTTTTAAAATGTAGACTAGAAGGCTGGCAGAGATTTGCTCTATTAAAACTGTATCTATCAAACCTCTTAAATTTGTTTAATCTAATGACGGCTATAAACTCTTTTGTTACCAGGGATGGTGTTATATCAGTAAATAAGGACAGTGGCCAGTTTACTGATGAGTACCTCCCAGAGCAGCGATCACATCTCTATGGGATAACTGCAGTCTACCCCTACTGCCCAGCAGGTAATGGACATTCTTCAGGGTACTTCTTTGGATTAGCAGGGAGGGGAAGGATTTTATCTGGTTACCCTGGATCCAGAGAGTGGCTGCTGCCACTGGCATTGTCTTGTCTCTTACCACCAGTGAAAGCCACTTTGAGATGGAACTTGACTATGTGAACAAAGCAGCTCTGGTGGCACAATGGTTAAAGAACCAAAAGGTCAGCGGTTTGAACCCACTAGCTGCTCTGTGGAAGAACAAAGAGGCAGTCTGCTTCTGTAAAGATTTACAGCCTTGGATTCACGGAACAGTTCTACTCTGTCCTATAGGGTCGCCATGAGTTGGAATTGACTTGATGGCACTGGGTTTGGGTTTAACTTGACTAGATACAAATAAAAATGGTCAGCATATTGGGATATTTCCCCTTTAAGACTTGTTACTGAATCTCTGGGTTAGAAAATAATCACTGCCTCTCCCTCTTGCCTCTACTCTCCCCTTACAGGAAGAAAGTAAATGTACATTTTGAAGGAAGACTTGGAGTTTACAATCAGAATCTTGACCCTAACGAACATTTACTGCAAACACTAAAAGGTGAAGAAAAGTGAAAAGGGAATTGGCCATTACAAGTTTCTGGACAAAGAACAAGATGAACATTTTTAGTGCAAAAAGACTAAGTATATTTTGTGAAAAGTTTATACCTCAAAAATCTTTACTACTGTATTTTTAAAAAGAAATGTTGCTATTGCAAGTTTAAAAAAAGTTAACAGAATTTTAATTGTTGCTTATTAAAGCAACTTTTCATAAACATTTATAATATCATATTTCAAGGTCAAATTCATTCAACTAAGAACCAATTAGAGTATATTAAGACTCTAAAAGTGATTTTTGTTATGGATTCTTTCTGGCTAAGAGATTAAAGCACATGTAATCAGTGTAAAAACACAATCTTAAAGATCACAAGCCTTACGGTAGTTAGAGAAGGCTATGCAGAATGGATGGGAAAGAACCAACTTATTTATAGTTTTCCAACAGAGAATTCAAAGATTTTTTTTTTTAACCTCTGCATCAGTGCATTTCTATTTATATTAAAAGGTGCTAGAATGATTCCATTTGTATTTTCTGAACCTGTGCCTCTGTGGAATTACCCACAGAAAGTACTACATTTATAATTACCAAAGATGTAATAGTTCTCAAATATTCTAGATTACTCCAATAAAATATTTTAAGTTTTCCTATGACTTGAGGATCTGTATGTCTCTATGACTATGCTGAAGGCTGACATACACTTTAACTACAAACAGGGAAGCAAATTAATTATGCCAACACAAAGTAAAAAAAAAAAAAAAAAATCCACTTTCCCAAACTTTATTAAAGAAAAAAAACAATGATGGTAAATCTCTAGAACATAGTCAATTTTCTGGGATTCCTCCCTCGAAAATTTGACATTTGATTTCCAAACACATGCCAGAAGTGTACATAGTCCCCAGTTTACTAAGTAGGTGAGAAGCTGAAATCCTAAAATGTTCATCTTCCAACTTTTCCCAGTCTGTGGTCTGTCTTTGGATCTGCAATAATTGACTGAACAGCTACTATGGCTTCATTAATTTTTGTCTGTAGCTCTCTGAGTTCTTCTATATGCAGCAATCGCAGAATCTGAGCAGCTTCATTAAGAACTGCATCTGTTTTACAACAAAAGAACATGGTATTAATAATTTTTTTTTGGTTATATATCCATTCATTCCTTCAAAATATTCACAAGTCTATAAAAATATTTTGAATTAAACCAAAAGCACCTACCTCCTGTGTCAAAACCAAGACTATGCTTGTCTAAAGCAACAGGCAAGCCCTTAAAAAAAAAAAGACAGTATCACACTATAGTTAAGAGTAACATTCTTTTTTTTTCATTTGAAACTATGAGAAACAGCAAGCTATTCTGTTATTTTAACCATTTTAGCTGCAGTGGCAAGGGAATTAAGAATTTTTTTTGTTTAAATCTGCTTTGTGGTGAGTAGTTTTCCTCCTACAACCAATTAGGAAAGAGCTGCCCTTAAACATACCGCAAACACCATAACCAATCCAGTCCCTTGGGCTAAGCGTGTAAATCCTTTCTGCAGCAGTGCTTCGTCACTATCATTATGGAAGGAGGGTTGAGCAGGGCTGCTGTCATCTCATTTCAGTGACAGTAAGCAGTGTATATAGGGCAAATGGAATAGGGCTATTTTTACTATTTTCCCCAAGCTAGTTTATGTCTGAGCACATTAATTTCTGTCTTTACAAACAGGACAAACCTATTTTAAAATGTATACAACTATTTTTTTCTTCAGTTAGCATGATGTTTACCAGATCCCCTATTTAACTTTCAATTGTTCATTTGGAAATTGCTTTGAAACAGTCTATGAAAATGAACAGAAACTAAACCATTTAGAGCTCACTAGGCAGCACCAATTCATAGACATACTAAAGACTGTGACTTTCATGATGCCAAACTATACAGACTTCACAGCAATTATCAAGTAAATAAGGACAATGGGAGGCGCTCTGGTAGCGTAGTGCCTAAAGCACTTGACTGCTAACCAGAAGGCTGGCAGTTCAAACCTAGCAGCCACTCCTTGGAAGAAGGATGGGGCAATCTACTTCCGTAGTGATACTGCCTTGGAAACCCAAGGAGTGGTCGCTATGAGTCGCGTCCCACTGGACGGCACATTAACAAGGACAAGGACAACAGGACTTGCTGATTATCCAATAAAAAACCATTAAAAAACCCACTACCTATACTTTCAATGTGACAACTCTTAAATTGTCACTAGTCAAATGCTTTAATATTCTTGCTAAATCTATGAAGGCATATTATTAGATTTAAAATAGCTGACAACATCAGTGAAGGCAAACATGGGTATATGGCTGGATAGATGGGTGGGCAGTCTGAACTATTAGGTATGTCTATGCAGCGGGGAGTGTACCCAAGACCACGTATAAGATTGGCAGACAATGGTTCTGTAAGTGTTATTTGTATGTTCTGTAAGAATTTCCAGGTATATAGTCCAGCTGACCAGGGACAAGGTTGTAGTCACTCCTTGGTCACAGCCAGCTACCCAGAAGTAGTGAGTAAGTACACCTGTGGGCTTGGGACCATAGTCACAGGGGGCATCAAGCTCAATCGACATAACATACTACAACCAAACACTGTTCCACCTCCTACTTTGGCAAGTAGCGACTGGGATCTTAAAAGCTAGCAAACAGCCATCTAGATGCAACAATAGGACTATCCTTGGCCAGAGCAAAGAAGAATGAAGAAAACTAAAGATTCATGGAAAAAATTAGTCCTAGCGACTGGTACACCATATGATCTGCAGCCTATATGACTATGAGACCAGATGAACTAGATGGTGCCCGGCTACCACTTAGAAGGAGATCCTGGATAGAGAGGGAGAACAATGTGGAACAAAACTCCAAATTATTTGGAGGAAAAAAAAAAAAAGGTTGGGGGAGACAACCAGGTTTGCTTGTCTGATAGAGCCTGGTGGAACCACTGAGACTATGGCTCCTAGCTGCCCGTCAGGTCTGGAACTGAACCCACACCTGTGGGTTCCAGCTAAACAAAAAACAGGCATATGAGTTGAATATTTACCTCAGGTAGATACACTCCTTGGAGAGAACAATCATGGGAGAAAGAAGGGCTGTTTATGCACAGAGAGAGAGAGCTCAAGGGGCAGGAGTGCATGCAGGGATGGACACAGGGAAGAGGTAACTATCAGGAGGAAGTGGGAGGGGACCTGTTGCATTGTGGTGAATTGTGGTCAATGTCATGAGACAAAGTATATGTGAACTGCTGTATGGAAAGTGAATTTGCTCTAAACTTTCACCCAAATCACAATAAAAATTTTTTTTTAAAAAATAGCTGACAACAAACAAGGTAAATAAATGAAGTGACAAATATGTATGAAAATATATTTGAGTAAAATTAAGGAGCAGAATTTTAGTGAGTGGCTGTATAAAATCATTCTAGTACCAGAGGCTCCAATTTTTTCCTTTTATCTATCAACAGACCACCAAGAAGTAGCTATCCCTAAAAACTGCCACATGCCAGAAATGCTAGTTATAAATGGTTATAAAGGAAAACATTAAACTCTAAAAACTCAAGTGCATTACTACAGGCTGCTTTCTTTTGACATGGCTTGAAAAATAAATTTTATTTCGCAAACAAATACAAAGAGATTCGGCTAGGCCCTCATCTGTATTGCCTTCCAAACCAAATGCATAATTTTGTTGAATGAATGAATGATTTTATTACACCACAACAATTTACTGCCTGTTCTATAATGTGGGTAAAATAAGCTGATCTTTAATCCAATTTCCAGTGCCCTGACTCATACATAATTAATAAGCCAGTAAGAACCTTTAAAAGAAGGCAGTGCTTTTCAGATGCAACTGCACTGCCCTGGCATTAGTAACATTTTAAGGCTGCTGTGCCAGGCTAAAGATAAAGAGTCAGAGGACAGAAGGCACTGTTTAGGGTAGGATGCAAGTGGGAAGCCAAAAAGATGAACTGGAATCTAGAATGGCAGCTGGGCCAAGGCCTTCACTGCAGCATCTGTGCAGGAGAGGGACATTATCCGGCACCTACCACTGCTGGTGTGGCAAGGACTGTGAGGCGGGCACAGGACTCAACAGTTGTCCACAGGGTCACTATGAGAGCTGAACTGATGGCACCTAACAACCACCACCGCCACTGCTGATGCTAACCCCTGGGACATTCCCTGTTCTGTGAAACTATGGGCAACTTGGATTTTTGGTACTATTAATCTAAAAATTCTGCCCCTCTCCAAAATTATGGTTTATCTTAGGGAAAGATAAAGGAGGAATACATGGTGGAGTTAGAGAACTTCTATATGGAGAAGTCAAGGTGATACCACGATTTAACAGACTGGTATAAACTCAGTAAGATACAGGTACATTTCAGAGTACCCAAAAAGAATATTAATACATCTACTCAGCAAAATGTAGCATAGTGCTTAAGGCACTTGACTGCTAACCAGAAGGCTGGCAGTTCAAACCCACCAGCCACTCCTCGGAAGGAAGGTGGGTCAATCTACTTCCGTAGTGATACTGCCTCGGAAACCCAAGGAGCGGTTGCTATGGGTCAGGTCCCACTCGGTGGCAGATAACAACATCAACAACACTCAGCAAAATAAAGAAGAAAATCAAAGACTCAGTGAACAAGTCAACTACAACAAAGGATATGGAAAGAAAATCCATAAACAAAAAGAACTCAACACAAAAAATGTAGTGGAACAAAGAAACTGTTAACACCACAAACACACAAACACGACAAGATGGCAGCTGTCAATACATACCAATTGATGATAACACTGAATGTAAACGGTTTAAATGTACCAGTCAAGAGACAGAGTGGAAGAATGGATAAAACAAAACAAGACCTATCAAAATGCTGTCTACAAAAGTCACACCTTAGACACAAAGGCATAAATAGGTTAAAAATGAAGGGATGGAAAAAATATGTCAAGTAAACGATAACCAAAAAAGAGTAAGAGTAGCAATAATAATCATTGATAAAATAGACATGTCAAAATCCATTGTAAGAGACAAGGAAGGGCATTATATAATAAAAGAGTCACTCCACCAAGAGGACATGATCATAAAAAACATTTACATACTCAATGATAGAGCTCCAAAATACATTAAGCAAACTCTTTGAAATGAGATAGCTCTACAATAATAGCAGGACCCTTTAACAGATCACTTTCAATGGCAGAACAACTACAAAGAAATTCAACAAGATACAGAAGGTCTGAATAGCACAATCAACCAACTTGACCTACAGACATATATAACACACTCCAAGAGCAGCACAGAACACATTCTTCTCCAGTGCACATGGATCATTCTCCAGAACAGACCATATTTTAGGCCACAAAGCAAGCCTCAATCGATTCAAAACTGAAGTAATATAAAACATCTTCTCTGATCATAATGCTGTAAAACTAGGAATTAATAACAGAAAGAATACGAAAAAACATTACATACATGGAAACTGAGTAACTACTTTCATGTGTGATTTGAGTTAACGTTTACAGATCCAATTCATTTTCCATACAGCAGTTCATACAAATTTTGTTTCAAGACATTGATTACGATCCCAATAATGTAACAGCTCTTTCCACTTCCTCCCTGTTACCTTTTCCCTGTGTCCTCCTTTCCTGTGCATTCCTGCCCTCTCAGCTATCTCCCTGTGCAAATACTGTCCTTCTGATATCCCAGGGTTGGCTGTTCTAAGGAGTGCACCTAACTGGTGTAAATGATCACCTTATATGCCTGTCTGTTGTTTAGCTGAAAGCCATGTGAGTGAGTTGAATTCCAGGCCTGAAGGGGGACTAGGGGCTGTAATCTCAAGAGGTTTCACCAGTCTCTATCAGACCAGTGAACTAACAAACAAAAAAAACCCAAACTCATTGCCATTGAGTCGATTCCAACCCATAGCTACTCCCTTTGGGTTTCCGAGATAGTAAATCTTTAAAGAAGTAGACTGCCCAGTGTTCCTTCCGCTGAGCAGCTGGTGGGTTTGAACCTCTAGCCTTCTGATTAGCAGTCAAATGCCTTAGGGACTACACCACCAGAGCTCAAGCCCAGCCTTTTTCATGATTTTGAATTGTGTTCCACATTTTTCTCCCACTCTAGTCAAGATTTCCTGCAGTGATCCCTTTCCAGTGGTTGACAGTGGTAGCTGGGCACCATCTAGTTCTTGTGGTCTCAGAAGGCTGAGGATCGCATGGTCCACTAGTCCCTTGGACTGACTGTTCCCGCGCATCTTTGGTTTTCTTCATTCTT